CTGAAATATAACCATATCTTATTTTAGAGCTTGGTTACGCAATTGCACTTTTTGAAACTATAGTACACAGTTATAGAAGAGAATTATTTATAATCGCACTATCCATTATCACCCAGATGAGGATGGGGTCCCTTTTGAGTCTGGTTCCTCTCAAAGTTTCTTCCTCATATCGTTTCAGGGACCGTCACCTTTGGCTTGCTCATTAGGGATAAATGCACACATTTGCAATTTATTTTGATTTAATTTAATTTGAATGTATTTATTTCTGTAAAGCTGCTTTGTGACAATGTCCATTGTTAAAAGTGCTATACAAATGAAATTGAATTGAATTGAATAGCTTGACTGTAGCTTACCTATTTCAAACTATAAGCAGCCTGTAGCTTGAAAATCTACAGTTTCAGAGTCGCTTCCACAACACTGATATTGAGCCAAACAAACACTGGGGTGTCTATCAGTCAAACTATACCTTCTCCTGTAAGTTTCACCCAGATTATTGTTCAGGTAAGTGAAGAAGTCAGTAGGTGATAATGAATATCTGCTAGCAATACTGTGCTAGTCTATGTTTGTGTGTGCCTATGTGAGTCTCTGTCTATATGGGTTTGCATGGCTGAAATTATATCTACGTCAGTGTGTGTTCACCCTTGCAGTGGACCAGCTTTACTGAACCTTAATGTAAGTACCATAACTGATTTGGGCCTACACATTATCTCATATTGTAGCCTTTCACTATGAGGGCTTTCAAAGTAATGCACTGTATAACAAATTATTATTTATTAATCTCTAATTCACAGCCATTACTAAGGCATGTGCTACTAAGGTAGAGACAGACACTAGGACAATGTGCTTTTAAAATCACATTTCAAAATCACTGGCAAATCCAGCTTGTTTATCATCTCTTCTATTTTTTTTTTCAATTCAATAGACAAGAGTGTCGTAGTCTGTAGCCTTTTACTTGGCAAATTGAAGTATCACAAACAGACAATGTCTTTAACCTACCATTTAAAAATGAAACACACTGGTGTGAAAACTGCTATTGTGAGTCAAGGACTGCTCCAGACTACAGTGGGATTGACGGGTGAGTACTGGCCGCCATTTATCAACCACGCATTATCGACAGTTTATGGACAATTGTTATGTTGTTGCACTGATTGAATGTTATTACACAGTTTTATGTGAGCCAAATATAAGAGCACAAGTCATTTTAATTCCATGTGGCATGCACTCAGGATTATTTCTGGGAAGTGTGCATTTTGTGGTTATTTGTAGGGACAGACTCATTGATTTTTTTTATTTTTTTTAATTCCTGCTTTTCAAAGTTTTCACCATGCATAAATGTCTTTGGGTTTGCTGGTGCAAGCCACTCATTAACAAAAGAAAGAGTTAAATTTATGTTATTTATATAGTACTTTTAATTTACATTCAGATGCATTGCCAGACTAAAAGTATTTCAATGATAATTATAAAGCTGAGCCATCTATTAGGTTAAGTGCAACACACTGTTCACACTCTGCCTCAAGAAAGCTGCAATGTTGATAATTTAGAGACTTTGTTGGTAGAGTTGGATACTTTTTAGACCCCTATAGCGACTTTATTTAAAATAAAAAAAAAAAGAGCCTAGTGCCTTTTGAGCAGACGACAGCAACAATCCTGCTTTTGATACAGATTTGTGTATGACGTCATTGTGCGTTGGCAGTTGTTAGTTTGAATTCACAAAGGTGAATATAGTGTTCACTGGTTATTTTGGAAGAATTAAAGCTTAGTGGCGGAATACATATCCATTTCTTGTATCAGGTAAGTAAATTTCAGTAAGTTGTTTTTTAAAACTTAAGTTCTATATTTAAAGATATATTCCCACTCTGAGTAATTCACCAACCCTGCTGGGTTTTATGCTAACTATGAGAAAACTAGCCATCTATTAGTCAAATACATTTTTTATGTTCATAGTTGTAGGGATACAACATTCCAAATGTGTTTTTAGTGAATTCTGTTGTTATTTAATTTCCGTAGTTCTTGTAAGATATATATTTTTACTGCTGTGTATAATGTTGTAAGGCTAATCTGCGAAGTGTTTTTTTTTCTTTTCCAAATTTAGACGCCAGCTATAGTTTGCTCTGTGTACAGTAGTAAGCTTCTGAAAAGAGGAGAAATCTCTGACTCATTTGAACTCGTAAGTGTGAATGCAGTGTTCAGTGGTTATTTCAGAAGAGGGAAGACATTGTGTTTGTATTACTTTTGTATTAGCGTCAAGAGAGAAAATTGGAGCAGAGAGAGGAAAAAAAAAAAAAAGAGCCTAGTGCCTTTTGAGCAGACGACAGCAACAATCCTGCTTTTGATACAGATTTGTGTATGACGTCATTGTGCGTTGGCAGTTGTTAGTTTGAATTCACAAAGGTGAATATAGTGTTCACTGGTTATTTTGGAAGAATTAAAGCTTAGTGGCAGAATACATATCCATTTCTTGTATCAGGTAAGTAAATTTCAGTAAGTTTGTACAGTAGTAAGCGTCTGGAAAGAGGAGAAATCTCTGACTCATTTGAACTCGTAAGTGTGAATGCAGTGTTCAGTGGTTATTTCAGAAGAGGGAAGACATTATGTTTGTATTACTTTTGTATTAGCGTCAAGAGAGAAAATTGGAGCAGAGAGAGGCACGTGTATGAATGGTACGGGATTGTGGAAAGCCAAAGGCTCACATTTCTGACTGGCACTTTGTGGTTTCTGTAGTGTAGTGGTTATCACGTTCGCCTCACACGCGAAGGCCAGTCGCACGTAGGTGTAGCGCGCTGGGTAGCCAATAGAAAACGAGAAAAATCCAGGAGGCGGGCTGGACAAACCTCCCCATAAAAACAGCGGTTTGAATCCCACCTTAGCCAAAAAGTGATTTTCACTTCTTTTTAATGTAGAGTCCCTAAAATATGATAAACATATTAAAATAATATGAAGTACAAAAATAAGTCATTTGCTAAGAGTTTTCTTTGTGTAAGGTGTGCAAAATGTAAAAATGATCATTAATAAACAATTATCAATGGGGACATCGTCATTAGTAAATGTTTCAGATATTTAGATATTTATATTAAAAATGAAAACACCATACAACATTTTAATGTTTTGATCATGTTTTAGTATAGTTTATTGTATTGTATGTTACATAGTTATAATATGTAACCTTTTTAAAGAGGCATTTTCAACATTTACTATTTTTATACACTTTCAATGCGTAAAATTATCTGTTAAAGGAGAATGAAATTCACAGTTTGTCAAAATTAAAATAACTATCTAAAGAATATATACAGAGTGTGTTATAGTAAGGTGTTGAAAATGTATTGTAAATAAGGACTAAGAGTTTTAAGAAATTTACAAATACAAGCAAGATAAAACACATTTATAAATACACAAGACAAATAACTTAAAAAATTACAAAGATGTCTATACACAATTCCACAATGGTAAAGAGAGAGAGAGAGAGCACAGAACATGCACAGACCTTAAATGCTGTGTTTCACAACAAAGTTATTTTTTCTTTTCAACAATCCACCTCTGCCTCTCAGCCTTATAGAACGGGGACTGCTGAAACTCTGTCCATGTCATCTGTGCATTCATTCCCTGCGCCTGATACAGGGAGAGCACTTTAGCAGGACAGTAAATGTATTTGTCTGCCACTCCAGGGAAACCAGTGTGGATATGAGGACTATTGGGACCTTGTTTTAGCGGCTGGTGGCAGAACCTGCACAGACGACCAGAAGGATGCTCCACTAATGATTTCCTCTTTCCTCTCTCTTCAGTCACCCTCTTCCTCTCTGCCCCCCTCTGCTTAGAGGCCTCCAGCTCCTGCTGAAAGAAGGGAGTGTCTGCAAAATCTTCAAATGGCATCCTGGGGTTGGTCAGGCCCTCAGCAGAGTATGTGTCAAAGACTTTCTTGGAGCAGTAGAAGTATTTCACTTCACCAGCCTGATAAAAGAAATGCACAGAGGAGCCATCACCCAGGTAACGAGACTTTGGCTGACCACAAGCTAAACGGGATCTAATTTGTTTTTTTTGTGTCTGCTGTTGTTGTTGCAGTGCTGCCTGGTGCTTCTCTACGATGTCTTTAACCATCTTCTCAACTGCTGCCTGGGTCAGAGGGACGTCTTCAGGAACACTCTTTGCAGGTGGATTGAACGGAGCAGGTGGCAGTATTGTCACTGGGACACTGATGGTTTCGCTGCCTGAGTGAAGACGCTTCCATAACTGTTGTGTCTCTAGGAGCTTTTCTGGGCTGGTGTTGAGAGAGGCATTTGTGGTTTTTTTTTTAGCAAGGTGTTTTATGTACCTGTTTATGTGCTGTTTCGTGGTTGAGTGCAGTGCAGGCACTGTGTACCATAGCAGCATAATCAGCATCCACCCTTTTAAGGAGATCCTTGCTCCCATGGTGCTTGGCCAGGAGACCATCGATGGCATTTCTCATTGGATCCGTCCATCTGTTGTGGTCCAAGACAAAGACTCGACCACGTGTCTTAATGGGTCCAGTCCGAGCTGCACGGGGAGAAGCAGCTATAGGCAGTGGTGGTGTCCTCAGCAGTTCTAAAGGAGATTCACAAAATTACTAAAGTGTTTGTGCCTTTGTATGCATACATGAGACAGACAGATTACACACATTAGTATTAATAATGTAATTACCTGCATCTGACAGAAATTCCTCAGACCTTTGTTCCTTTACTGTCACAGGACTTGGAGTGGAAAATCGGTGAAACAAGACAATCTGTGGGGTGGTTTCTGGCTCTGCAGCAAGAGGGGTCTCAGCAGAAGGGGAATCATCTAACCATTCTTGAAATTGAGCAAAATTAGTTATCAGTTATGAAGTCATACAAATCTTTTTCTATATTATCAAATAAAAACTAAATGTAAAGGAGTACCTTAGATGGAATTGATGACTCAAAGCCAGATGAAGACTCCTCTTCAATCTCCACATCTCCTAGGGCGGACTTCTTGCACTTATGTTTGTCAAAGTCAAGAGGCACTGGTCGACAGCCTGGTTCCACATACTGTAGGCCAAACTTCTCCCCTGTGTCCCTGCTGGAGATATGCAAGGCTGGATATTTGGGCTGCCCTGTCACTCTCACAGAGGCCCCGTTTAACTCCATCAGTAACACAGGGTCAAACACTGCAGGTAGGATGACCCCCGGCTGCTTCAGGTCCACCAGCCGCTGATAATTCCAGCGTGCCACCCCAGTCATTCCCTGTGCCTGGAACAGTTCAGGAGAGACACGATTGCCTGTTACCCACTGAGCTTGGTGGAAATGAAACCCCTCCTGCTGTGAGGTGCCTCTGACAGGGATCCAAATGGGCACAGCAGCTCCTTCACCCTTTACATGATTGAGCTGTAATGTCCCCCCATGTCTGTAGAGGATTTCTTCCTCCACCTCAGGGTCACTCAGGCAGCCCCTAAGGATGTGTACACGCTGAATCCACCAGACCTTTAGCAGTGAGGGTTTAAAAAGGAGGATGTTGTTGGGATCCTTTGCTAGATGGAAATGTTGAAGCACCTCTTCCACCCTCTGGACCAGCTCTCTGGGATGTGGAACTT